GAATTAATGGATTTGTATATATTTGATGTGTTTCAATCCATTACAGTTATTATTAATTTTGATGCTCAAATTGTTCATCTTTGGCCAAAGGGTGCCCTTTCATCTTGGTTCTTGGGTTCTTTTGATATGACCTCAGTAGAATTTGATAGCTACCTTGATCTTCTTGTGCAATCCTGCCCCAGGTCTGAACTCAGTTATTTCCAAAGGGCCTTGGTTCCTCTTAGTGGGAAATGACATTCAGATTCTGAATCTAGCCACTAGGGTGCTCATAGCCATTATTGAGCAGTCACTGTTTCTTGCTCTTTTCAATGGCCAAAAGAAGGGATATATATCCTTTGCAGAAAAATTATCATGATTTCAGAATGGCATTGCCAATTCAAATTTCAGGTTACAGAGTTTAGAACTTCACTGATTTTTCCTCTTGAGCTAAAAATGTTTATTTCTAATAAATATTAAGAGAATTACTTATTTCCTACTTCATTTACACAGAAATATTTAAAATATACATAATAGTATTCAAATCATAATATCAATATTATTAGTAGCAATACTATTACTAAATGAGATATAATTATCTTGTCATTCTTTTTGTGTCTTTAGGATATGTCACACTAAGAATAAACAGTCAAAATAATGAGTTTTAAAGTCAGTTGAAGGAGCCTCGGTCATGCAGTGGTTAAAGCGTTTGGCTGCTAACAGAAAGGTCAACAGCTCTGCTGGAGAAAGAGGTGGGAGTCAGCTTCCAAACCTATTACAGCCTTGGAAACCCTATCTGGCTGTACTATTGTGTCCTATGGGCTCAGCTGGCTATGAGTCGACAGCAATGGGTTTGGTTTACAGTCAGTTTCTTATCTTTCTGTTTGTTTATGCCAGTAACTTGATATATTCTTAGATTAATGAGCTTTTTTTAAAAAATAAATGCTTTTTTCTTTTTAAAAATAATTGCGTAAAACGTTTACATGATTCCAAATTCAAAACTCCAAACAGCAAAAGTCTAGCTTTCATCCATATTTCTTTCCCCGTCCTTCCAAGATGTAACCACTTTTATTAGTTTTCAATTTATACTTCCATTTCTTCTTTTTTAGCATATAAGCAAATGCACACATCATTATTCCTATTTCTTCCTTCTTTCTCACATGAAGGCAACATGTGAATAGCCTCTGCCTTGCTTTTTTTTTCAATTAACAATACATCCTGTAGTCCCATGGAGGGCCACAGAGACAGTCCTCATTCCTTTGTACAGCTGCACAGAACTGCATTGTGTGCATGCACCGTGGTTTATTCAGCCAGTGCTCTGTGGATGGACATGTGGGTTCAACTAGCATTTATTGCATGACTAAATTGTGCCAGGCACTGGGAATAAAGGCATGGTCTTTTGCCTCAGGAAACTCATAGCGTAGAGGCAGGAGAGTTCTACAAGTACTTTCTTTATAACCAAGTAAGAGCTTGTATCCACTTTGCACAAGGGGCGTGTGGAGCAGAGAAGAGATTCTAGCATATAGGAGGGATACAATAACTGTTTACTGTTTGGCATCTTGCTTCCACATCCAAATGAGGGCCATTATATGGGAAAGTCCCCTTGAGAGGAAAAGGTTTTTCAGTGTTTGAAATTGCTTAGAAAATCATGAGTGCCACCAATTGGTCAAAGAAGGAAGACCAAATGAAAGAGGCAGAGAGGGAGGGTCTTAACTACAAAATTCCCCCTGGAAAGAGAAAAGGTAAGTAACACAGGAGCTGTGGTTTAACAAGCTCTGACACTGGTATCTCTGGTGGTGCAGTGCCTAAGGCATTTGACTGATAACCAAAAGGCTGGAAGTTCAAACCCACCAGCTGCTCTGAAGAAGGAAGATGGAGCGAGCTACTTCTGTAAAGATTTGTTGTTGTTGTTGTTGTTAGGTGCCATCAAGTCGGCTCTCACTCATAGCAACCCTATATATATATATATACAACAGAACAAAACACTGCCCAGTTCTGCGTCAGCCTCACAATCTTTGCTATACCTGAGCAGCCACTGTGTTAATCCATCTCGTGGAGGGCCTTTTCCTCTTTCGTTGACCCTCCACTTTACCAAACATGATATCCTTCTCCAGGGAATGGTCCCTTCTGACAAGATGACCAAAGTAGGTGAGACAAAGTCTGGCCATTTTCACTTTCAAGGAGAATTCTGACTGCACTTCTTCCAGGATTGATCTGCTAGTTCTTCTGGCAGTCCATGGTACTTTCACTATTCTTCGTCAACACCACTACTCAAAAGCATTAACTCTTCTTCCGTCTTCTTTATTCACGGTCCAGCTCCATAAAGATTTACTGCCTTGGAAACCCAATGGGGGTTGCTATGAGTCAGAATTGACTCAAAGATGTCAGCGTTTTTTTTTTTTTTTTAAAAACCCACCTATTTACCATGGGTCAATCATTATTTACATATAATTACCTCCTTTATTTCCATAACAGCCCGAAGAGGTAGAATCTATTTTTACTCACCTTTTACCACTAAAGAAATTAAAGCACAGAGTTACCTAACTTTTGCCCAAGGTCACACAGCAAAAAGAAATTAAGAAATGCAGGAAAGAAGGAAGAAATTGCAGCTAGGATAGTTGCAAACATTGTACTAAGAAGGACGTCCCCTTAAGTACTTTACGTCCCCTACAGAGTGGCCACCTCCTCGGGCAAAGAACGGACTGTTGACACTGCTAGCCACACACACATACCCCTGGAGACTCCAGGATCGGAGGACACCGCAGCGCTTTCTCTGGATTCTTGGGGAGGGGGGGGGCATCTTCTGCACTTAGCACTCCTGCTTCCCAGGAGGCAGGAGAGATGCCAAAGCCTGGAGGCGACTAACTGGATGCTCGACCAAACCTAAGCCCGCCGGCAAGGTAGTGCAGGTTTGTGCAGCAGCAGCAAGACCGAGGCTTCCCGGGATGAAGACGGGCGCCCGCAGTCCCTCCAAAGACCTCTCGAGTCTTCTTTTGCGATTCCTCCCAGTGTCCGAGGGCCGGCTGCCTGGACTCGCGTTAATCCCTTGACAAACACAAAGTTTCCTTGCTTGGGCTCCAACAACAACGTGGAAGTTATGTGAGAGTCAGGGGCAAACTCTCAAGGTTGGCCAGGCACCGTGACCGGCTCCTGGGAAACCGAAAGTAAACTGAACACAAATTCCACTCCCAGGGAACCCGCAGCGAGAGAGACAAGCTATGACTACGTGGTGCGAGACTGCTTAGAACAGAGAGTCTTACGGGGCCGTGCTTCCCTGGCTTGTAAACACCCCACCGAATACAGTTAGTTCCCGCATCCCCGCCGAGCCTGCAAGATCTAGGAGCACCGCAAGCTGCTTCTGTGTCTTCTTCAACACAGAAGTCTCTTTCGGACTCGTTCCAGGCGCCACCTGCCGCCCAGACACAGTATTGCGAGCGGCTGCCCAGGAGCACGTGACTCTCGCATCGCTGGGCGGGGCTGGAGCTGGACTCAGCAATGCTGGCGACACGCCTTTCTTGGGGGTCCCACGGGATCAGGGGGATCAGAGCAGAGTAATTCCTAACTCATCGTTTAACACTAGCATTAGATTTCAAAACACCTAAAGGATTACCTCAGAAACCTAAAGGGAGTCTCTATGAGTCGTCAGTGAGTTTGTTTTTGTTTTTTTGGAAAGGATCACCAGCCGGACCACTAGAGGAAAGTCAGGAGGTCGAACCCACCCAGGGGCCCAGAGACGCCTCGGACGGCAGGCCTGGTGATTTGCTTCTGGAAGATCACATTACAGCTTTGAAAATCCTATGGAGCAATAGTACTGACACATGGGCAACTAGCATACATGCTACAGAGCAGGTTAAGGGAGTAAAGCAGAATCACGAAAGTAGAGATATCGGGAGAACCTTGCATTCCAGCTTTTCCAACTAGCCAGTGACACAAAAAAATTACACTGGTAGACTTAGTATAGGAAAAATAATCTCTCACAACGCGGTCAAAGAAAAGGATCCCCCCAGTTCACGTCAGACGGGTAATGTGCCGACGTCGTAACAAGATTTGAGGGAGGCACATATCACACAGAAGTGTGAATACCCAATCATCACGCTTATGAACCGGAAAAGGATCGAAAATAAGTCTTCGTTGAGGAATCCCGAGTGGGTGCTACCGTCTTTACAGAAAGGGTGACAAAAGTGGTGCAGATATATTCAGTACTGGCATATAAAATCCTATACACTTAAATAATTACATATATTCTGATATTTTTATATTCGTTTCTACTTTAATACACGAAATCAGATATAAATTTAGAGAGAGAAATATTATCTATGCAAATATATTTACCACAGCTCCACCTTTCTTCCCTTTACTGAACCTGGATCTCTACTGCTTTACGACCATAGGTCGTGAACCGGCAAAGCATTGCGGCAGTATTGGCGGAAGTCAACTTTGTGCTTTGCGGCAGTGATGTAGCTGGTGTGGATCCCTGGGAGCCCCTGACAGGTCGATTTTTTTGTCCTGCTTCTGGAGTTTATTCTTTAAACTCCTTTTGTTTCTTGTCGTTTGTTTTTCTATACATTCTCAAAAAGGCCAGAGTAATTTATCCACTTCATGGCTGGGACTCTGAGACTCTGTTAATACTTCAGAAAACCTCATTTCCGTTGATGGGTCCCTTGCTTTCCAAACCCACTGCCGTGGAGTAGATTCCGACTCATAGTGAGCATATAAAACAGATTAGAACGGCTCCATAGAGTTTCCTAGGTTGTAATCTTTAGGGAAGCTGCCTACCCCACCTTTCTCTCACGGAGCTGATGGAGTCGAATCCTCAACCTTTCAGTTAGCCGCCTCAGCAGCCGAGGGCTTAACCACTGCGTCACCAGTACTCCTCGTCCCTGGCTTTACATACTCTTTATTCTTAAGTTTTAGTCTGTTCTTCGGAGAATTGCAGACTCCAGGTGATCTTGCCTTCAGTCTTTCGTGGGTCCCTTCGGGTCTTCATTCTCGCCCTCTGATAGCCCAACTACTCTCTCACCGCCATGGATATTGACCCTTCTCGGGAAAATCCGTCACCCGAAAGCTGTTTCTTGCCTGGAGGGCAGTCTTCCGCCGCTCTCAGGCAGGCTATCTCGCAGATTCTGCACCGTTTTACCTACCAGGAGGCCCGACGGGGTAACGGCAAAGATGCAGTTTTTCAGGACCTTAGTGTTCTAATAGAAGCTGCAGAATATGGCAGATTGTTTGAGGGGGATGGAGCACAAATCCGTGGAATGTCTGAAATGCTGGGGGAGGTGGCCAAAGCCCTGGGAATGTATGCTGCTCCACCCAAGGAAGAGGTGGGCAGTCGTGATGACAGCTCTGGGGTGGATGAGAAAGCCACAGAAGTTGGATTACTGTTTCTCAAGCTGCTTGGGAAAGTTGAAACTGCCAAGAATTCCCTGTTCTGCCCTGCATGGAAGACAGGCCTGCATCACTTGGCAGGACCAGTCTATATTTTTGCCATCACACACAACTTAGAGCAACCGTGGACCAGCCCAAGATCTCGTGAGATTGCTGGAGAGGTGCTATCCTTATTGCTTCGAGTTTCTAACTGTGATTCTGTAGCAGGATTCCTTCACGGAGAAAATGAAGAAGAGAAAGGGAGATTTACTATGATTATGGGGCTTCTCAAACCCGATTTGAATAAGTGAGTACTTGGCCCAAAGGGCCATAAGACGGGCTTCAGCATAATGTTGGAGCTCATAGGTTTTTCATCAGTAGCATAAAAAGTAGTCATCCAGTGGTTTTGACTCTTGTGTGTCACAGTGGAGCTGTCATAGGGCTTTCAGTGACTAAATATTTTGAAGTAGATGCCCAGGTCTTTCTTTCTAGCATCTTTGGATGGACTCTGACCTCCAGCCTTTTAGTGGCCGGACGCATTAAATCTTTGCATCACTCAGTGACTGCATCAGTAAAACAAGGATGTTGCAATAGTTAATCTCTTAAGAGTCATGAAAGTTGTTGTTTAGTATAAATGATGTAACTAGACAGTGACAAACTTGAAATTAAAGTCCGGGTCTTTCAGGTGTCCGTTTCTCAGTGCCGTTCCCAGGCCTGATGACCATTGTTCTGGTAAAACTGGAAATTCTTTCCTACTTACTTGGATTTAAATTTCTTAAGTTAGGTGGGGATGGGAGTTTGGAGAGGACTTAGGTATGAGTTTTACACTTAGGCATTTTAGAACTCATTGCTATTTATTAGACAGTTAGTTATTAGAAACTTGAGATGAAATATAAAAACCCTTGAGATTCCAATTAGCTAAAATATTTTCTGTGAGCTTCCATTTGCTACTTTGTATGTTAAGATTTGTAGTGCTGGAGTGAAAAAAAAAAAGATGTGTTCGTAACTCATATTACCAAGAATTTGGAGTTATAAGGCTTGGTTTTTGAGTTGTATACTTCTTTTTATTAGTTTTGTGTAGGACCATGCCAGACAGCCTCTCTGAATTTCAGTTTCACTGTTTGTTTTTTGTATTTGTAATATTAAGATAATATTACCTAATAACAGTTATTTTAGAATTAATTATGTAATGTGTGTAAACTCATTTTACAAGCTATGGATTATTATTAAAATACTGATTTTTTCCCTTTATACTAATAAATAACAACAAATACTTCCTTTATCCTCTCTCCCTTCATAACACTTCTTCTCTGTAACCACCACCATCATTACCATAGGCCTTTTACATAGCTGTGGCTGTAAATAGTTACTTCTCATTGTGTAACCTTTAGACCAAGAGCCCAGTATGATTATTAAATGTATTGAATATAAGTTATGTAAGTTATTTTGATCTGAATCTTAAAATGTATAAAATCAAGAGTTTTGTTGTGTGGGATGTGTATTTTCAAGGTCAGTAAAATACTCTGTTCAGCTTGAACTGCTTAATTTCCTTTGCTACTTAACACTGTATCATTTAATGTGCTTTCATATTTCCACTTAGGGAATCCTGGAAAAATAACCCTGCCACGAAACATGTTTTCTCATGGACTCTGCAACAGATTACTCGACCCTGGCTGAACCAACACCTAGAAAGGATACTTCCCCCATCACTGCTCATCTCAGATGACTACCAAATGGAGAACAAAATCCTGGGCATACGCTGCCTCCATCACATTGTGCTTAATGTGGTAAGAAGCCTCTGCTTTCTATCATGTGTGTTGATGAGTCAAACTAAATTATTCATGGCTGTTCCTCATTTATGCTAGGCCTATTTTATTCTTACCCATTTATATCATATATTTATTTATTTTTTATAATTTATTTTGTTGTTGTTGAGAATATGCATAGTAAAGCATACACCAGTTCAGTAGCTTCTACATGTACAGTTTAGCAACGTTTTGAGTTGTGCAACCATTCTCACACTCCTTTTGAGTTTTTCCTCCCCATTAACATAAACTCACTGCCCCAAAATGTCCTCTCTAATCTTTTGAATTGCTATTGTCAGTTTGATCCCATATAGATAGTTCTTAAAAGAGCACAGTGTTCATGGCAGACATTCTTTTTTTTTCTTTTTTTTTTTTAGGATTTGGGTGAAGATGTACAGAGTAAATTCACTTTTCATACAGCAGTTCACATATACTTTGTCTCATGTCATTGACCAAAATTTACAATGCAGCAGCTCCCCTCCCACTTCCTCCCCATAGTTACCTCCTCCCAGTATCCATCCCTTCATACTCTTCCATGGCAGACATTCTTTACTAGTTAAGCTAAACTATTTGGTTTTAAGATGACTTCAAGGGATATTTTTGTTTTAAGTATTAAACAATAATTTCAGGGGTTCATCCACCCTCCATGGCTCCATAAATAATTTTGGGGGCTCATTCACCGTCCATGGCTCCATAAAGTCTGGAGTCCATGAGAATTTGAACTTCTGTTGTATATTTTCCCCTTTTGATCAGAATTCTTTTAGAATCTTTGATCAAAATGTTTAGTAATGATCACTGGGCACCATCCGGTTCTTCTGGTTTCATGGTAAAGGAGGCAGTTGTTCATGGAAATAATTAGCCACACATTCCACATCCTCCTATTCCTGACTGTCGTTCTTCCTCTTTTGCTTCAAGTGAATAGAAACCAATTGCAGTGCCTTGGGTGGCTGCTTTTAAGACAAGCTTTTAAGACCTCAGGCACTACACAGCAAACTAGGAGATAAAACAGAAGCATTAAATACCATATTAGGCCATTTAACTAGGGTGTCCCATGAAACCATTACCCTAAACCTCCAAATCAAGGAACCAAATCCCATGTGTTTGATTGTATATAACCAGCCTCAGCAGCTACTCTCTGTTGTTGTTGTTATGTCTGTCACACAACTTTGCGAATTCAGCTTTTCACAAGTGTACAACTTATGGACAGCAATTACAGTCATCAGCTTTGAGGTCATTATCCTTTTGTGATTGATTGACTTATGTCACTCATTATAATGTATTCAAACTCCTTACATATTGTAGCATATCAAAACTTCATTTCTCCTACTTGATGAGTAGTACCACATTTTGTGTATCCGTTCATCTGTTGATGGGCATTTAGGTAGTTTCTACCTTTTGGATATTGTGAATAGTGCTACAATGAACACTGGTGTACATGTCTCTGTTTGAGTCTCTGCTTTCAAATCTTTTGGGTATATATCTAAGTGAAATTGCTGAGTTATATGGTAGTTTTATTTTTAGTTTTTTGAGGAACTGGTACACTGTTTTCCACAACAGATCTACAATTTTACATTCACATTCCCATCAGCAATGGATAAGGGTTTCAATTTCCCCACATCCTCACCAACAGTTGTTATTATTATTTTTTTAATCTTAGCCATCCTGTTGTTGTTAATGTGCCGTTAAGCAGGATCCAACTCATAGCGACCCCGCCTTGGGTTTCCGAGGCAGTGTCACTACGGAAATAGATTGCCCCATCTTCCTTCCAAGGAGTGGCTGGTGGGTTTGAACCACCAGCCTTCCGGTTAGCAGTCAAGTGCCTTAGGCACTATGCTACCAGAGCCCCTAGTCATCCTAGTAGGAGTGAAATGGTATCTCATTGTGGCTTTTATTATAAGAGTTTGTTTTACATTCAACATTACATGTACATTTAGTTTCACTCCCCATTTACCATGCCCAACCGTAATCCAGTATCCTCCCTCCCTGCGAGTAACCCTCCCCCTGTGCCCCTCATAGTTATGCACTCCTGTTTGTCCTGCATTTCCTCCATGTGAATGTTGCCCCTCTGGTGCCCCATGGTCTATTGCTCTAAGGGATATATTTCCATAGAGTATGTGGGTGCATCACCCTGGGTTGAATTGTCTGCATGTACATTGGGCTGAGAGCCAGACCCTGGGAGTGAGTTTATTCCAGGCACAGAATGTATCCCAGGGCCATAGTATTGGGGGTCTCATCAGACTCCATCAAACCAGTAATTCTGATCATTATTGAGTTTTTGGATTTTGTTCCATGTTTTTCCTCCCACTCTATCCAGGATCTCCAAATTTGATCCTTTTCTAAGTGATTGGCATTGGTAGCTGGGCACCATCTAGTTCTTCTTGTCTCAAGGGCCATTGTGTCCTATGGCTGATTGCTTCCAATGCCCTTGTTTTTTTTTTGTACTCTTCTTCACTTCTGATGCTAGGAGATCATTAGGTGCATCTTAGATGGCCGCTTTTAAGATCCCAGTCACTACTGACCAATGTAGGATGAGGAACAAGGCTTTTATGTATTTTGTTGTGCCAGTTGAGTCTGGTGTCCCCCAGTACTATGGTCCTGAGGCAGTAGATTTATTGGATCTCTCTCCCATAGGGTCTGGGTGTCTGTGAGGGATTACTCTCTGTCTTCTATTTTTTCTGTAAAGATTGCAGGTATTTTGTATCACTGGTATCTGTGCAAGATTAGCCTGAGCTGAATATATCCTTGGTCTAGAGTATACTACTGTTCATTGACTGCTCTCTGATCATCTCAGGTGTTTATGTGTTTATCTGTAGCCTGGTGTTTGGTGTTAGTGATAATGCAGTATTGTGGGCAAACTGGTTGGTATTAGTATCTATCGTCTCTCTCCTGTGTGCACAATTCAGTGTCTTCCCTTTTCCTAATGTTATCATGGTTGTCACAGACTTTATCCATATATCTCTTCCCTTACCCATGTCAGTATGTAGGCCCCAACTAGCCTGGAATTAATCCCTCCCCTCCTGGTAGTGTAGTGCCTAAGGCATCTTGACTGCAAACCAGAAGCCAGCGGTTCAAACCCACCAGCCACTCCTCAGAAGGAAGGTTGGGCAGTCTACTTCCATAGTGATACTGCCTTGAGAACCCAAGGAGGGGTTGCTATGAGTCAGGTCTGACTTGACAGCACATAACAACAACAACTTCCCTCCCCACCCCTATAATCTACAAAGTGAGTCCCCTTTCACAAGCAAACCCTTCTTTGTCTTTTTATAGTAATGGGCTCATACAGTACTTGTCTTTCTGTGATTGACTTATTTCACTCAGCATAATGTCCTCCAAGTTCATCCACGTTATGCAGTGTTTTGCAGATTCTACGTTATTCTTTAGGGTTGCATAGTATTCCACTGTGCGCATGTATCATAATTTGGTTATCCACTTATCTGTTGATGGGCATTTTGGTTGTTTCCATATCTTTGCTATAGTGAATTGTGCTGCGATGAACATAGGTGTACATATGTCTGTTCATGCACTGTCTCTCACCTCTTTAGGATGTATTCCTAGTAATAGAATTGCTGGGCCAAATGGTATTTCTGTATCTTATTGTGGTTTTGATTTGCATCTTTCTGAAGGCAAATGATGTTGAGCATCTTTTCATGTGTTTGGTGGCCATTTTAATGCCCTCTTTTATGAAATTCAAGTTCTCTGTCCGTTTTATGAGTTGGTTATTTGTCTTTTTATTGTTGAGTTATATATCTTTTATTATCTGGATTTCTATTAAAGCTTCTAAGCCGTTAAATCAACTTGTTCATATTTTCACTCCCTATACTTTTCCTCTGCCAACTTAGTAGTTATGTGCCATAGGTAATATAATAACTAGAAGGATAATTACAGAAGAAGTGGGAAGGCATAAGTTACTATCAAATTGAATAACTAGACCTTGAGTAATTAACAGTTGACTGTTTCAAGGAACAAAAAAAAGTCAAAACCTGAAAACGATTATAACCAAATCGGCAAGTGATTACTCAGGGAAACTTTTTTTGTAAGACTCTGTATTATGGAACTTTAAAAATATACATACAAAAAAATTAAAATATACGCAAAAGATGAGAGAGTAGTATAACAAACTTCTATGTACCTATAATCCAGTTTTTAAAATTGTCAACTCTAGGAAACTTTTTTTTTTTTTAATTGGGTAATTTGTCTAATTGCAGCCAGCTGCTGACTTGCTCCAGTACAACAGGGCCCAGGTCTTATACCATGCCATTTTCAACCACCTGTACACACCGGAGCACCAGCTCATTCAGGTAATTGCAAGATTTATTCATAACTGTCAGTCTGGGATCATTCATAACTGTCAGTCTGGGATCTCCAAATTTGAGTAGAAGATGTCATCACATGAGTAGGAATAGTTGTGAGACATTTTCCTCTTTTGGAAAGTGAGAATATTTAAGTAAAACTTGTTGCCATGTTGAAAATATATAAGTAGCAATGACTAGTAAAATCATTTCAGCACCAAGCAGACATCCACATTCCTGAATCTCCACAGAAAAGCCAGTTCTTTTTCTTCATTTGAGTCAGTTATATACCACTTCCAAACCAAAACCAAACTCACTGCATAGTGACCCGTTTGGGTTTCTGAGGCAGTATCACTATAGAAGTAGATTGCCCAATCTTCCTTCTGCAGAGTGGCTGGTGAGTTTGAACCGCCAGCCTTCTGGTTAGCAGTCAAATGCTTTAGGCATTACACCACCAGAGCTCCCATATATCACTTTAGGGCAGCTTTTTGTGAAAACGTTCTATTTTATTAATTGGTATTTCTTCTGTCCACCACTTGTCTGTCAGTTTGTTAATACTGTGGTGGCTTATGTGTTATTGTGAGGCTAGAAGCTATGCTACTGGTATTTTAGACACCAGCAGGGTCAGGTTTCAGTGGACAGGTTTCAGTGGAGCTCTGGTGGCATAGTGCCTAAGGCATTTGACTGCTAGCCAGAAGGCTGGTGGTTCAAACCCACCAGCCACTCCATAGAGATACTGCCTTGGAAACTCAAGGAGGGGTCACAATGAATCGACTTGACTCGCTAGGGGTCGACTTGACTGCAGTGAGTTTGTTTTTTTTGGATTCCAGACAAGACAGATTCAGAAGAATGAAGAGGCCATCTACTTCTCAAAGAATTGGCCAGTGATAACCTTATGAATAGCAGTGAAACTGTCTGATACGGAAAACTTTATGAATAGCCCTGAAGCATTGTCCAGTATAGTCTCATACTGTGCCAGAAGATGAGTCCCTCAGGTTGGAAGGCACTCAAAATATGACTGGAAAAGAGCTGTCTCCTCAGAGTAGAACTGACCTTAATGATGTGGATAGAGTATAGGTTTCGGGACTTCCATTTGCTGATGTGGCATGACTCAAAATAAGAAATAACAGCTGCATATATCCATTAATAATAGGAACATGGAATGTACAAAGTATGAATCAAGGAAAATTGGAAGTTGTCAAAAATGAAATGGAACATAAAGATCGATACCCTAGGTATTAGTGAGCTGAAATGGACTGCTTTTGGCCATTTTGAGTCATATAACCATATGATCTACTATACTGAAAATGATAAATTGAAGAGGAATTCATGGCATTCATTGTCACAAAGAATGCTACAAGATCTATCCTGAAGTACAATGCTGTCAGTGATAAGATAATATCCATAGATGTACAAGGAAGGCCAGTTAATATACACCAACCACCAAAGCCAAAGATAAGGAAATTGAAGATTTTTATCAATTTCTACAATCTGAAACTGACCAAACATACAATCAAGATGTGTTGATTGGAATGCAAAAGTTGGAAACAAGAATCACCAGTAGTTGGAAAATATGACCTTGGTGATAGAAATAATGCTGCAGATTGCATGACAGAATTTTGCAAGACCGAGGGCTTATTCATTGCAAATACTTTTTTTCAACAATACAAATGGTTGCTATACACATGGACTTTGCCAGATGAAGTACACAGGAATCAGACTGACTACATCTGTGGAAAGAGGTAATGGAGGAGTTCAGTCAGAACAAGGCTAGGAGCTGACTGTGGAACAGACCATCAACTGCTCATATGCAAGTTCAAGTTGAATCTGAAGACAATTAAAACAAGTCCTTGAGAGCCAAAATATGACCTTGATTATATCCCTCCTCAATTTAGAGACCATCTAAAGAATTGATTTGATGCATTGAACACTAGTGACCGAAAACCACAGGAACTGTGGGATGACATCAGGAACATCATCCATGAAGAAAAAGGTCATTAAAAAGACAGGAAAGGAAGAAAAGACCAAAATGGTTATCAGTAGAAACTCTGAAACTTGCCCTTGAACAGAGAGTAGCTAAAGCAAATGGAAGAAATGACAAGATAAAAGAGCGGAACAGAAGATTTCAAAGAGCAGCTTGAGAAAACAAAGTCAGTTATCATAATGAAATGTGCAAAGACCTGAAGTTAGAAAACCAAAAGGGAAGAACACATTTGGCATTTCTTAAGCTGAAAGAACTGAAGAAAAAATTTAAGCCTTGAGTTGCAATATTGAAAGATTCTATGGGCAACATATTGAATGATGGAGGAAACATCAAAAGTAGATGGAAGGAATACAGTCACTGTACCAAAAAGAACTGGTTGATCTTCATCCATTTCAGGAGGTGGCATATGATCTCAATGGTAATGAAGGAAGAAGTTGAAGTTGCACTGAAGGAACTGGCAAAAAACAAGGCTCCAGGATTTGACGGAATACCCATTGAGATGTTTCAACAAACAGATGCTGCCCTGGAGGCATTCACTTATCTATGCCAAGAAATTTGGAAGACAGCTACCTGGCTAACTGACTGGAAGAGATCCATATTTTTACCCATTCCAAAGAAAGGAGATCCCACAGAAAGTGGATATTATTGAACAATATCATTAATGTCACATGCAAATAAAATCTTACTGAAGATAATTCAAAAACAGTTGTAGCAGTTTATTGACAGAGAACTTCCAGAAATGCAGGCTGGATTCAGAAGAGAATGTAGAACAAGGGATATCATTGCTGATGTCAGATAGATCTTGGCTGAAAGCAAAGAATACCAGAAAGATGTTTACTTATGTTTTATTAACTGTGGAAAAGTGTTCAATTGTGATGATCATAACAAATTACGGATAACATTGAGAAGAATGGGAATTCCAGAATGCTTAATTGTGCTCAGGAGGAATCTGTACATAGACCAGGAGGCTGTCATTTGAACAGAACAAGGGGATACTGCATGGTTAAAAATTAGGAGGGGAGTGTGTCAAGGCTATATCCTCTCAGCATACTTATTCAGTATGTGCCTAAGGCATTTGACTGCTAACCAGAAGGCTGACGGTTCAAACCCACCAGCCACTCCTTTGAAGGAAGGTTGGGCAATCTACTTCCATAGTGATACTTGCTTGGAAACCCAAGGAGGGGTCACTATGAGTTGGGTCCAACTTGAAGGCAGTGCGTTTTTTTTTTTTTTTTTTTTTTTTGGTATTTAATCTGTATGCTGAGCAAATAATCTGGGAAGATGGAGTATATGAAGAAAGTGGCATCAGGACTGGAGGAAGACTCATTAACAACCTGAGGTACGCAGATGACACAGCTTTGCTTGCTGAAAGTGAAGATGACTTGAAGCACTTACTGATGAAGATTAAGGTCTGCAGTATGGATTATACAACATAAAGAAAATGAACATCCTCACAACTGGACCAATGGGCAGTGTCACAATAAATGAAGAAAAGATTGAAGTTGTCAAAGATTTCATATTACTTGGTTCCACAGCCAACACCAATGGAAGCAGCAGTCAAGACATCAGAGGACATATTGCATTGGGCAGATCTGCTGGAAAGAACCTCTTTCAGGAGCTGAAGAGCAAAGATGTCTCTTTGAGAACTAAAGTGCACCTAACCCAAGCCATGGTATTTTCAGTCTCCTCAAACGCATGTGAGAGCTGGACAGTGAATAAGAAGGCCCAAGAACAGCTGATGTTTTTGAGTTACGGTGTTGGTGAAGAATGCTGAGAGTACCATGGACTGCCAAGAAAACTAACAAATCTGTCCTGAAAGAAGTGTAGCCAGAACACTCCTTGGAAATGAGAATGGCCAGACTTCATCTTACCTACTTTGGTCATGTTGTCAGAAGGGATCATTCTGTGGAGTAGAATATCATGCTTGGTAAAGTGGAGGGTCAATGAAAAAGGGGAAGGCCCTCAATGAGGTGGATTGACACAGTGGCTGCAATGATGGGCTCAGGTACAGCAAGAATTGTGAGGCTGGCACCGGACTGAGCAGTGTTTCACTTTGTTATGCAAAGGGTCACTATGAGTTGGAGATGACTCAACAGCATCTAACATTTCTTCTGTGTTGCTTTATAGCAACATGTACACTGGACTCTCTATATTGTGCATTTCAACATGTTATCATTCATCCAACAGGCATTAATTGAACACACTGGTTTGTGTCAGGAACCATTTAAGTCCCAAGAGTAAATTAGTCAGATCGAACTTCTGGCTTTTCACAATCGTTTGGAGGGACATTTCTATAAATATATGAATATTTATACGTGTATCTACAATACAGAGTAATAAGTACAATAGTTTGTATAAAGTGCAGGGAGTATCCAACAGTAGGGAACTAACCGGGCTTGGTGCTGTTGGGGTTTTAGGAAGCTCTAGAAGAGACATGTACTTCTTTTTTTTTTTTTTTAATACTCACTTATGAAGGATAAATTTTTCTTATTTAAGATGAGTTTCTTAGAGGGAAGAACATTCTAAAGACGAGAAATAATTTATGTAAAATTAGAGGTAGAAACAACCGTGTTTCTCTTACTAAACCCTCTTTTTGTAAAATATTATTTTGGGTATTGAGAATTCAGGTACTAAGAACCAAAAATGTTGGGGCTCTTGAGATGGTGGAAAAAAAAGATTTAAAATAACTAAGAGAAAAAAAAATACCCCAAAAGAACCTAGACTATTTAGAATTGGTTTAAGTACATGTAAGTATCACTAAACTTAGACTCCTAAAATCTGGGTTAAAATCTCAGCTCTGGGACTCTGGCATCTGCTACTTGCCCATGTGACTTCTTTCCATTTTACAAATTAACGAAGAACAGTGTTAAGGGGAAGATATAAACTTATTTGACATTGCCATGTAGAGATAAAGAATTTGTGCAATATTAAGTAATATACATTTAACATATTATTTTTAGTATCTTTCAGAATCCTGACATGGACCCCCAAGGACAATAGCTTAATGATATTCCAAGAAAAATCAGTGAGGGTAGTGAATGCAAAGTGGATAAACAATATAGTTTCTTCCCTTTGCTTCTTCCCAGGCTGTGCTCTTGTGTCTGCTGGATTTATTCCCTGTCCTGGAGAAAGCGGAGCAGTGGAAGGGAGGTGCTGTTCGACCTACCACTCACTGTGATGAGGTTCTGCAACTGATCCTGACTCACATGGAGCCAGAGCACCGCCTTCTCTTACGCAGGACCTATGCAAGAAACTTACCAGCTTTTGTGAGGAGGTGAGGCCCTGGGCTGCTGGTCTGGACATACTCCATACTTCAACTCTTTGGCATCACATTTTTTTCTTTAATTTTTAGGTTGGGGATCCTGACTGTCCGGCACTTCAAGAGGCTTCAGCGAGTCGTCATTGGTTATCTGGAGGTTTATGATGGACCAGAGGAAGAGGCTAGATTGAAGATACTGGAAACCCTAAAACTTCTTATTCAGCATGCTTGGCCCAGGTATAGCAGCCAAGTAGACAGGTGTGCTAAAATGGCAAAACTCAGCTGGTTTTCTGTTTAACTGGTACCAGATGTACATGCAGTAAAAAGAATTAAGTACATGCTATCATTTGAATTCCTCCCATTTTCACATACTTATAGGATTTTTTGAGGGAGCTGTGGTAGCATAGTGGCTAAGGCACTTGACTGCTAACCAGAAGGCTGGCGGTTCAAACCCACCAGCCACTCCTCGGAAGGAAGATGGGGCAATCTACTTCCACAGTGATGCTGCCTCGGAAACCCAAGGAGGGATCGTGATGAGTCAGGTCTGACTCGACGGCACATAACAACAACAACAACATAGGATTTTGAACTGAGACGGTGGCATTCTAAAGATAAATCTGTAGTTACTTCAGGTGCTGATATTTTGATCCTTTCACTAGGTATTAGTTCTGGATTCTGAAACTATTAAATCATTTCTCTTTTACACTCAAGAATATCCTAAGAATGGCTTAGACTGGTGTTTTAAGAATACCCATCCAGGTACTTTGCTCTTCCATACTTAAAAAAGAAAAATATGCTATGGTCCTGTAAGTGGGAAACCCTAGATACTGTACATCTCTCTAGATTTATAATGCATATTAGTATGTAAGGGCCATTTAGAAGTGCTGCAAGTGTTCACCCTAATGAAGTTCCTTAAACCTAATTGAGAATGGAACACTTCATAGCACATCATTTGACACCGCAGAGCAGTGACCAGGAGAATACTAATTTAGGATATTCTTGCCTAGAAAGCATTCCAACACTCAGTTGAAGTAGGTGTTAGAAACAGTAAACTTGAACCCAAACTGCCACTAGTCAGCAAGTCTTTCTTGCATGAAATAACTGAAAGTTTAATTCAGCTAGAGAATACAGTACCCCTGCAGCTAAGTATCTATTCTGGACCACCTTTCACTTTCTTGTAAAAGGAACCCAGAGAAACTTTCATTCTCAACAGCCTTTTCCTTAGTCACTTTATGTTTCATAGAATTTTCCTATATGCAGTACCCGATAATGAAGAATGAATGGATTAGAGTAGAATGAATAGGTGGACAAATGAGATTGAATTAAATTAATTGACAAGTCTTAAAAGAGCAGAAAACAAGACTTCAGTAGGAGAACAAACATAGGGAGGTTAGAAAATGAATATGCCGTATGTGTAAAAAGACAGCCTAAGGCATTTGATTGCTAACCATAAGACTGGTGGTTCAAACCCACCAGCTGCTCCATGGAAGGAAGATGGGTCAATCTACTCACAAAGATTTACCACCTTGGAAACCCAGTGGGGGTAACTATGAGTCAGAATTGACTCAGTGGCAGTAGGTATGGCTTTTTTGAAGGTCCACTGGTGGTGCAGTGGTTAAGTGCTCACCTGCTAACTAAAAAAGTTGGTGGTTTAAAATCACCAGCTGCTTCACAGGAGAAAAATCAGGTACTTTGCTTCCATAAATTACAGCTTTGGAAACCCTTATCAAGCAGTTCTACTCTGTCCTATAGGGTTGCTATGAGTCAGAGGTGACTCAACAGCAGTAGGTTTGGTGTGTGTGGAGGTGGGGTTGGTTCAAAGAAGTGAAGAATAGAGCAGGAGAGTTTATCTAGAAGAGATACTGAATGAAGACATGGAAGGTTCCACGAAATGAAAACCATTGAATATTTTTTTTAAATGAAGATAAGGGATGAAAACTTTGAGAAGGATTAAAAAGGTTTGGCTTAAGTGATAAATAAGCTAGCATCTGAAATTAAATGACAGAACATTCATGTTGATAAACTGAGTGCTAGAATTAAAGCTTATTTCCCTCACTTTATATTTAACTTCTAGGTGTAAGGTGGCATCAAAGCTAAAGGACTGTGGGTACCTCTTCTTTGGTCAAAAGTACAAGTCTTTAGTAAGAAAAGAACCTGGTTCCTCTTTTTGAGCCATTAAGGAAGATAATGTTCCCTTACAATAGATAAAACCAAGCTTATGGATATAATACTTGGGGAAGGCCAGAGTGTGTCTGTGTGTAGGCGGTATGCTATAGAAAGGGCAAGGGCTTCAGGTTAAGAAATCTGGAGTCTGGATCCTGATTCTGCCTCTAGTTCTGTGGTCTTTTAAGTCGTTTGATTTCAATTCCAAGTCTGAGATGAGAGCTTTGCACTGGATAGTCTTTGAAGTCCCTTCCAGTTTTATTATCTTATGACTTAAGACTATTTACATAGTTTCTCTTTTGAGCCCAGGATTTCCTGCAGACTTGTTGTCTTACTGAAGACTCTCCTAAAACTGATATGTGATGTAGCAAGGGACCCAAACTTTACATCTGAGTCTGTGAAGATAGCCTTGTTACAGGAGGCCACAGACTGCCTTATTCTCTTGGACCACTGCTCACAAGGGCAGGTAAAGGTAAGGGAGAGTCCCTGACTGTTTCACTTGGGTCTCATTATCCTTAGGTAATTGCTATGACTTAATTTACTATTTACATGCCTGACCACGTCTGGAAATGAACATGGAGGGTTTCAAGTTTCTATCTCTGAGCCTTCAACAGAGTTTAACCAATACCTTATTCTTCCTTGAAAGCTATTTCTGACAGTTGAGGCCAAAAGGCAAGAGAATCATCAGACGTTTCTGGGGCTAGGGCGAAAGAGAACGAATAGAACCATCATGATTAAGAGTTTTAAAATTTAAGTTTTGGTCAAATCTTCTGAATTTAATTAAAAAAAAAAAAAAAAGTCATAATGGGCTATAAGCCACCAAGGAGTAATAATAGAGTAACCTCAATAGGATGGCACTTTCTAACATCAGAAATATTTCCAGTTTTACTGGTGGTACCCATCTCTTAGGTGGATGGTTTTCCATACTCTTACTTATTTATCCGTAAGGAAATTCTTCCTTTGGTCCCATGTTCCCCGAGATTTAACTTCTCAAAGCCATAGCATATACTAGAATGTATTTAATAAATTATTGCATTTCTTACTCCATTTAGAAATCTTCCATTGAAAGATATAAAGGCAGAGTGAAAATTTTCAAATCCTAAATATACTTAGAATACCTCATTGTTTTATTTATCTATTAAAAATATTTCATCTCAGTTTTTCAGTATCAGGCAGTTTCAAAGTCCTGCGTCCAACTCACTTTGCTCTTGGCTGGTATAAACTGCTTCTGCATGAGCCAGCAGGATGTTTCCAAGCACACAAGTACTTCTGTCTGTTGTGAACTGGCCCCCAGTGTCATCCATACTTTCGAGTATAGTACCAAAAATGAAAAAATAAGAAGGGGGGAAAAAACCCTAAACTACACACACACACCCACCCCTGAACTATATGTTCAGGGCTCTGATAGTGTAGTGCCTAAGGTACTTGACTGCAAACCAGAAAGCTGGTAGTTCAAACCCACCAGCCACTCCTTGGAAGGAAGGTTGGGCAATCTACTTCTGTAGTATCGCCTCGGAAACCCAAGGAGGGGTCGCTATGAGTTGGGTCCGACTTGACGGCACACAATAACATGTACATATACACATGTGTGTGTGTTTGTGTATGTGTGTGTGTGTGTGTATACTTTTTTTTAAAAAAAGGCAAAGCCTGTTTGGTTTTACATTTCAGGGTCTCCTGGCCAAAATTCCCCAAAGCTGTGAAGATGGCAAGGTGCTGAGCTGTGTCAGAAAAGTCCAACAGGCTTCTGAAGGCGCTTACTCTGATGGAACTTAAGATTTGTATTATTCAAAAATGAAAAGATTTTCTTTCTATCTCAGATGGTATGAATGGTATTATTTATGGGAAAAAGTATTTTTTACACCAAGCATTATAAGACAAATCTTCTTTTTCTTTATTTCCTTTTGTCCCCAAGGGAGTAGGGAAAGGATGATATTAAGTCCTGTCATTTCTAAATGAAAATTTGTTTGGGGGTGGGGTGGGAGAAGGAGGACAAGACATGGGACACACAAAGGAAAGAAGGGTGGATTATATTTTAAATTAAATTTAGAATTATTTACACCCACAATCCCATCCTAGCCTCAAGAACTCATCTGTTAAGTTTCTTGGGCTCAAGCTGTTTTACTACAACACATATGTCAAAAATGCTATAAAAATACTCAACAATTTAAGGCTTTCCTTCACTTCCCAGATTTCTTGCCCACAGAAGTGACATAAATATTGAGAACACAAACACTGTGTTAAATACAACATGAAAGAGCAAAAACTGGAGGTGTATGTGTGTTTAAGATACAAAAAAAGAAGATGTTAGAAACGTCCAGTGCTGTTTGTAAAGGAAGAGAAATCACATGGTTTTGGCTTTGGCCATGGGCTCTGTCTCCTGTTCATACTCTATCTCTACATAGGCTCGCTTTCTCAGCAAAGGTCCTTTCAAGGGTGTTTTGCCGTTGTGTTTAGCATTAAGAGCCTTCCCTTCTTCCTCACTTGAAGATTTATCATCCTGATCTTCATCACTGCTGGCAACCAGTTTATCCATATCCTAGTATGGGGAGAGAAACAATGAAAGAGAAAGGAAAAGAATGTTAGATTAGTTCCCCAAACTCCCTTCATTGTTCTCTCAGTTTAGAACAAACTAGAAAATTTATATGCCTCTGTGCATGTTCAGAAACCCTCCATACTTTCTGCTGAAGGCCAAAGGATCTTTGACTCATAAAGCTTACCTCGAAGTCACTTATGTCACTCTCATCTACCTCATCATCTTCCACAAATTCTCTTTTTCCTATGTCCTAAAGAAAAACATAATGGTTAGGTTCAAAATACATAATGAAAATTAAGTTTAAACATCTAGTTTTATTCTTTGATAAATAAGTACATAAATGACAATCAGAATCAGTCTACTTATTATCCAGCCAGTATCTAGTTATTCCAAAATCAATACTTCTCAATTACGACTTTTTTTTTTTAGAGATCTCAATTCTCATGTCTGATTTAAATCATTAAAAGTAACATGTCCTCACTTTAATGGACTAAAATCAGTATATAAGGAGGGATTTACAAATTATTCTTGGTACATCCAACTAAAACCTGTAATTCAAGTACCATAAAAATGCTTTACATATAGATAATAGCCTGAGGGTATACCAAACAAGTAAAGTTCTACTTGCCAATTAGCCCATCTTCTAAAAATACTATCCATTCAAACACTTCTCCTATTTAATAGTAAGATTAAACCCAATATAATTTTCAGTAGGTTCCTTAGTGGTATATTTATCCACTGATGAGGATTCTTCATTTTTTACCTGGCAGGAATAAGCTTTAGATACCAGTAAGTAAGATTAAAGTTGTCAATGTCTGTTGGCTGAACTACCACAACAAAGCAACCACTGCTGAACCTAAATCATTCTCATGGTGGAACAAAATGACCAAATAATTATTTCTGTTAGGGGTAGGAAGATGATATTCCATATCTCAATTACATAAAAACATACATAGTCTATATAGATCACTGCTTGACAAAACAAAAACAAGGCTTACTTCTTCATCTTCTTCCTCTTTTTCCTCAGCATCTGAAGAGTCACTCTCTGCCTCCTGTTGTTCCAGGGCCTTGTCGAAGGCGTGGCTGGGGAAGTTGTAGATGTCGCCATACTGAGTAACATAAACACAGACTGGCTTTAACTAAATTTGGATATTACACTTCAAGTTCCACTGTCCAACCTATTTTTCTACCTCAATGTCTTAAGTAACACTACTTAATTTTATACATAGTATTTCTGTATTATTTTTAAGTCTAGAGTTTGCAGTGTCTTAAAAAGACCCATTTTGATTTAAATTATTAGTGATTAATATCAAACATGTAACTTCTATGAGGATGGAAGTAGAGCACTTAAAATTTGGTAGTCTATGAAACCCATGAATTAGGACAGATGTAATTTTGCTAATGAAGGGGAAAGAGTAAAAAATAAATCTTAATCACATTTTGTCTATAGGTGACACTACTTTTTTAAAAGGGAATAAAGAGACTAGGGTAATATGGAAGAGGAGCAAAAGTATGGCCTTTATACAGAGTTCTATAACTGATGCATTTACTGAGGTTGGAAAGAATGGCAGAGAGGGGAAGGTCTCTCACACTGATGCAGAGTATCAAGGGTAACCAGAGCACTTTATGTGTTTGCATTAGTGAATTCAAATGAAGAAGCCAAGGTCTAAATGATATGTATTTATTCCAGGGAGGAAATCAGGGTGGAGACCTTTCCAACAGCTTTAAAAACAGTTTTCCAAATATTTTCTAGCAAGACACGACACCTAAGAAACAAAAGTTATACCCTAAAGCTCCATGTGTCTCACCGTATCTTGTTTCAATCTCTCCAGTAATTCCTTTTCAATGGCATTGTCCAGCTGAGCAGCTATTAATGCCTTTTCCTATAAGAATAAAAGAGAAAATCCATTTGCTTAATTAGTACTAATTTTTCAGCCTGTGTAAATGGGAAGAAACTATCATGTTTGTATAAGAAAGACGTAAGCATTTTTCTCCTCTTGATATTATTAAGGCTTCTGCCTCTTCAACCAGGTGGTTTTTTCTTTCCCTTTCACTCATTCTCAGAAACCTTTAAATTTAAAAATTCATTTGTAAGCTGAATTCTGAATTAAATTCTAAAAACGTCTGATAGATATATAAAGCATGTTGGTCTACATATATTTATGTATTTCAAAAAATTAGCAACCCAGAAGCCAGAATTTGTAAAAGTTAAGAAAAGGGAAGACAGACCTTTACCTGTCTATGTCTTCAGAAACTATGTTAGAATCCACATGATAAATAGGAAAAAAAAATATATCGTCTTTCTCTAATGACCTCTCATAGGACAAAGAGCCTGGCTCCAACCTATACCACCCTCCACCTAAAAGATAAAAATCTGACCTCAATCTACATTTCAAGCTTAAGATTTTGCATTAATTTTATAATGAAAGCCACAAAAGGTTTTAAAGTATTGTACAGTGAAGCTATGGTAGAATAATTAAACTGTGTAAATCATAAGGCCCACAGACTGAAGGCACATGGCTGAGTAATAAAGTTAATGTGATATTTTACACTGTTTTCTAAACTGGAGTGCCACACCTAAAGGTGATCCACTGAGGTATAGGATGAAAATATTCAAAACTTCTATGTGTAATTTCTCTTGAAATAAATGTCACAATATTTATCACAGAGACTTTTGGTGTCCTGACTCTGTCCTAGACAAAAGTTGTTCCAGATACAGTGAGCAAGACATACTGAGCAAAGGACATCCTATTATAGTTTCAAAGTGGTGGTCTCACTTCCTTATTCAGAATATTACAACATTTAGCTGTTTGTATTTGCTTGGTTAAGTGGATTTATAAATGATATTGAATCATTTGCAATAAAACTGGTAACAGTCATAAAGGTATGCTGGTTATCCAGTGCCATAACCAGCTGTCATCAAGTCGACTCTGATTCTTGGTACCCCATGGGTTATCTGTGGAACTATGCTCCATAGGGTTTTCATGGCTGATTTTTTGGACATAGGTCTTCAGATCTTTCTCCAAGGTGCTTCTGGGTGGATTCAAACCTTCAACTTTTCAAATGGCATAGTACTTAAGAAAGTTGTAGAACTTAAAGGTGAGTCATAAATTTTTCACAAAAAGAAAATGTCCCATATTTGCCAACCTTTGCTGAGGTAGCAAATGGCTGTCACCAGTATGTTGCCTAGCAGAAGTTTTTAAAAATATATTTAATCTATTCCTTTAAGAGAAAGACAACATTTTAGCAGTGAGTTTGAAGAAGAAATTTTTCTTTTTAAACTTGCTTTATGGATAGGTATCTTTTCAGCTGTTGCATGTAATTACATCTATGTGATACTGTTGCTAAAAATACCATGCGTCTCCTATAAAAACTACAACTACACACTATTTTCCAGCCCACCTGAAAATCTTCCAAATCTAGATTTTTCAGAGGGCTTCAAACACATTGGCTAAAAACAGCAATTTAATTTCTTTTGAAAGTTTGCAAGAATACCTGTTTGACAGGAAAGATGGAAATTTCACTGGATGAATTTGAACCCAAACCTCTGCATTATTGGCAGAAAACAATGAAAAATGAAGAGCAAGTTCTTAATAGAAACCATCAACAATATACTTCTCTATGTATCTTTGAGATACCTATCAGTTATAATAGCTCTGAGAGACAAATTTATACTCCGCTAAGAACCAGATTTCCGTTTCACTACATACAAGCTATTATGATATACACACTGGTGCAAATATATATCTATAGTAATATTTATAAGTATTATTAGTATTGAGGAGTACATATTAAAATACTGTTGATGGAGTGAATGAAAAGTTTGGAAACCCCTTATATAATAGACTTGAAATAAGGAACTTCAAGTGATTAATACAAACAGCTTCAAATTATTAAAGCTAATTCTTGATGACCAAAAATCAAACCAAACTCATGCCATCGACTCAATTCTGACTCATATCGACACTATAGGGTTTCCAAACTATAAATACTTATGGAAGCAGATGCCATATCTTTCTCTCATGGAGTGGCTGGTGGGTTCAAACTGCTGTTTGCTTAGTAGTTGACTGCTTTAACCACTGCATCACCAGTGCTCCAACCAACAGTGAGATACCAAAATGTAACTGTTCAATATGCATACTCCTCTCTGCATCAAAGGCTGGGGATTGCCGACCAGAGTAAATTTTCCATGAACGGCACAATGATTACCTTCAGTATTCAGTTCTAGTGATAAACCTTCCCAGTTAACTTCAAGAAAAAACTCCATATTAAAATAAAGTCTGTAAGTCCTTATTACCAAAACCAAACCAAATACACTGCTGTCGAGTCGGATCCGACTCAGTGACCCCTCTTTGGGTTTCCGAGGCAGTATCACTACGGAAGTAGGCTGCCCAGTCCTTATTAGCAATAGCAAAATCCAAAAAACTCAATTTACTGCCAAAATATGATCTGAAATGACATAAGCCTCTTTAAAGACTTTTTTAAAATTCCATCTAATGTGAACATTCTTGTATTTCACTGCAGAAACACTATAGTGTTGGATTAGAGTGCAGACTTCGCTGAGATAATATGTAGGCATCATACCAAAATTCTGAATTGTGAAACTTTTGACCTCAAGAATTTAAATAAGGGATAGTGGATCTCTAAGATTTCTTTTTTGTTCTTCCATTGCATAGATTTCCAAAGCACCCATATTTTTACCTATACTGAAATTTATAATCTTAAAATAGGGGAAATCAGATGTCTTACACAACTAAAACTGTTAACCACTATTGTTGTTGCTGTCAAGTCAGCTCACACTCATGGTGACCTTTGCCTAAGAGAATGGAAATGTTGCTGGTCTTGTCCCAGGACCTGAATAGTTGACAGACAATGGTGACTGAATGTTTACCATGAGACCTGCCAATAAAACCTCCTCCAATGAAAATATGGGAGCTATGAATATCAGAATAAGTTACCTCTCTTCTTTTTTCCCTCCTCTCCACCTTCTTACTCAAAGGAACAAGTTTCCTCCTATGGGAAATAAAACATGTCAGAAAATCCAAGTACACATACTATGTGTTCCTTTTAAAAGATGAAAAAAATGGATTTGAATTGGTTTTGTAGTTCAATACAGCAATATTACATGATTCAAAATTTTGCAGAAATATATATTCCAAAAAACCAGATGTTCTACATATATTTTAATGTGGCTGTCTGTTTTCTTTAGACATTTTGAATCTTTCAATGTCCTTTACAATCCTGAGATAAATACCTCTGAGAACTAATTCATTGCCATTGAGTTAGATGTGACTCATAGCAACCCCTCCTTGGGTTTCTGAGGCAGTATCACTACAGAAGGAACTAAGGGAAAGAATTCTGTATGAGACTGAAAGCATTCTTTGTAGGTCACAATTCTTAAGGTATTCAATTAATTCTGTAGATTTTTATATTACTTTTTAAGTTTTCAAGGAAATCACAATACAGTTTGTATATTCTCATTTGTTCACATTTTTAAGGTAATTTTCACATCTTTAATATTAAGATTTACTCGGGTTATAAAGAAAATTTCCTGAAGCTGATTTTCAGGCAGGGAGGGTATAATCAAGTTGTACTACATTGTTTTTAAAAATCCTGCAAAATCAAAGGGCACCATTTTAATCTGAGGTAAAGTTTCTTCTTCTTAGTTGTTATCAAGTCAGCCCCCAACTAACAGTGATCCGTTCACAATGAAAGAAAACACTGCCCAGTCCTGTGCCATCTCCAGATCTGTTACAAACCAGACTGTTCTAATCCAAAAAAATCACTAGCTGATTTTTCAGAAGTAGATCACTAGGCTTTTCTTCCTAGTCCCTGTTAGTCTGGAAACTCTATCAAACCTTTTGAGCACCACAGCAACATGCCAGTCCCTACTGACAGACAGATGTTGGCTGCACTGAGACGCATTGGCTGGGAATCTAAATCACTCACATGGAAGGTGAATATTCTACCACTAAATCACCATTGACCCTTCTTTTTCGTTAGTATGTCATAAAAAATTACACAATGTTGATTTTAACAGCATTATCACAAATCAACTCTATACCATACTTCATGGAAAGAAAGACAGCCTGAAAAATCAAGGATAAATATGAACCACCTTAATACTTACTGTCGCTTTAGTGTAAGTTTTCGAATTCGAATTAGGTACTGGGTGATCTTGGTGAATCTCTGCTTGCATTTGTGTCGAATAAAACGAGGCCAGTAAATCAGATTTTCATCTATTTGCTCCAGCGCTTTCTCGTAGTTTTTATTGAGCCTGACCTAGCAAACAAAAAGGAAGCTTGAAGGGCAAGAGTAAATGATTAGGTCTCCACTATCAGCAACATCTGATGAGGATGGCTTCAAAATTTAATCCAAATATGACTGAAGAAGAGAAAACAGCATGTGGGGTTTTCACTCTTGACCCACTGTCACTGCAACTTTGTGTCTTAAGTCTTACCCGTTCCCAGAGACGCCTAGGAAAAGCTGCTCGTTCTATAACCTTCATATACAAGTAGCACTGTCCTGCAGGAGGAAGTAAATACCTTTAACATTATTTGGAGAGACTAAAGCACAACCTTTTAAAAGCTGGTGAACAATTCTCATGGAAGTTAAAAGTGGGGAGTTACCTTTTTCTTCTTTGATAGTGGCATACTGACTGTTTGCTAAGGGGCAGGATGACCGATTACATAGTCCAGTCAGGCTGTACTCATTTCTACAAAAGCTCTGAGTCTTAGTTCTAGAGCAAGAGTAGTGAAACAAAGATTATAAAATGGTTTTCGTTACCAACTAAAAGAATGTCTGAGTTGTAAATCCAGACTCACCTTATTTTGAAGGAACAAAATTGTTTGTTTCCTAGTGTATCCCAGATAACCTGCAAAGACAAAGTGAAAACCCATTTCAATTGTTCTGACTCATCAGATGGCATATTAATCCAAGAAGACAATGCCCCATGACAGTGCCCTGCTTTCCTGAAGAAAGGAGCTTTTGAGGAGTAAGAGGCAGAAGACATAAACACCTTTTAAAGTAGTCTGACTTGTTTTCTTTACAGAAATAAGACTCGTAGAAAATTCAAAAAGACAAATTAGCAGCAACCATAATCCTATTAGCCAGAAAATTGTTAGTATATTTTAAGTATTTTTCCAATTTTATGTATATCTTTGTATATTCCACCTACAATATTATCCCTACATATATTTTTAACAAAAATGAAATAGTGTATATATTTTGTAACTTTGCTTTTTTTTATTAAATATGTACATCATTCATTTTTTGAAAGGCTGCACAGTTCCAGATTTCTGGATATACATACCAGAATGTGATTTTATTGAGGACAAGGAAAATGATCTACTGCTATCTTTCAATGACAAATGTGCTCTTTATTTATTCAGCATTTATTGTGTACTTAATTTATGTACAGCACTGGCATCTTTAAGTTCTGACACAGTAGACACTTAAGTATTTGCTGAATGAAGGCAGGTATAGTCCTCAAGGAGTTTTATCTATCTAGTTAGGAAAAGAGATATGTAAACAAAAAATCAAAAAGTAGCAGTCTAAATGCTGTAATGTTGTTATGTGCCGTCGAGTCGGCCCCGACTCATAGCGACCCCTCCTTGGGTTTCTGAGGCAGTATCACTACGGAAGTAGGATTGCCCAACCTTCCTTCCGAGGAGTGGCTGGTGGGTTTGAACCGCCAGCCGTCTGGTTAGCAGGCAAGTGTCTTAGCCACTATGCTACCAGAGCTCCCAAATGCTGTAATAGAGGTATGTAATAGTAGGAGAGACTTTGAGAGACTGAAAAATAAGGCTTTAAAGCAGTTAAAAGGAAAAACAGTATAAAAGGTTAAAACACATTTTAGGAATTTCATAGGCTGTGTTAGCAGGGGACAGTAGGATATAGGTATGAGGAAATGAAACTGGAAAAGCAAAAGCCAGATTATTAGAATCATGTATGCTAAGGAGGTGGGCCCTGGGTGGCAAAAACCCACCCAGAGTTCCCTCAAAAGACAGACTTGGCTATCTGCTAATGGCTGAAAACGCTATGGAGCAGTTCATCATTGCTGAATTAACTGAAAATGCTTGTAATAGTCATTTTTGTTCTCCACATTGCCAAAGGATGATTATCAGTACTAATTTTATCAGTATCTTCACAGAATTTGAGAAGGTTGACCACCTCTGTTTCCTGGCACTCTGCTTTCTGTCCTGTCCACTGGCCGCTCCTTCTCACTTTCTTCTGTTGGCTCCATCTCTTGCTTGAATTCTAAATGTTGGAAATGTCTCCAGGGTTTGAGTTGAGGATCTATTCTGTCTACCTAGAGGATTCATTCAGGGTTGTAGCTTTAAATGTCATCTCTAAGCTGATGACTACCAAATTGTCATCTCCTGGTTAGAGTTCTCTCCTGAGCACCAGGTTTGTATATACACCCAGCTGCCTACTTGATCATCTCCACTTGGATGTCAAAAGGGCATCATAAACATTGTTGTTGTTGTTGTTATGTGCCGTCGAGTTAAACCCGACTCATAGCAACCCCTCCTTGGGTTTCCGAGGCAGTATCACTACAGAAGTAGGATTGCCCAACCTTCCTTCCGAGGAGTGGCTGGTGGGTTTGAACCGCCAGCCGTCTGGTTAGCAGGCAAGTGTCTTAGCCACTATGCTACCAGAGCTCCTATCATAAACATTAGCATGTCCATATGGACTCTTAAGTCCACACTCCTCAGAAAGAATACCCTGTTCTTTTTTCAATCTCCACTATCTCAATAAATAAAACCGCCAGTTAACTATTTGTTCAAATCTCAAATCATTTGATTTTTCCATTTTCTTCTTCATTTACTCCGTCATCAAGTCTTGTCAGTTATACTGATAAAACAGACCCAAATTCATCCATTTTTTTCATCATCCTCGTTATTACTACCTTTGTCAAAGGTATCACTACTTTCCACCATACCCCACTCTCCTTGCTTTTAATCTTGCTTCCTTTCAAAAGCCCTTCACAAAACAACTAGAGAATTTTTCACAAACACAAATCAGATTTTGTTTCCTATTACAAACCTAAAAAACACTTCTTAGATGACTCTATGATTTTGCTGTGAGGAACAAGCCCAATCTCATTACCTATTCTTTCCCCTTGATTCCTATAATCTAGTCACATTCACGTTCTTTCCAATCCTTCTCTCATACCTTTGTATCTTGGTACTTTGTTGCTCCTACTGTCAGGATCCATTGTTTTTTTCCTCCTCAGGTTCTTACTGGCTGGCTCAGTCTCACCTTTTACATCTCAGCTCAAATGCCACTTGTTCAGAGAAACCTTCTTTGATTAGCCCTCTCTGGAGTAGTTTCTCCGACTGATGCTCTACTTCATCGCTTTCGGTCTATCTTTCACAATACTCTTTACCCAGTGCAATCATTTTATATATTTGTCCATTTGTTTATTATCTGTCTCCCCCACCACTGGGCTCCAGGAAGGCAGGGGCTTGCCACTTGCAATCTCCAGTGATTGCCACGATGCCAAACACACTGTAAGCACTTTCTAAATATTTCTTCAACAGCTAAATGCATGAATATAGGATATATTCGAAATTAAGTTAAAGAGTGGTGCAAAAGTAAAAACAAAAACAAGAAACGTAAAATAGAGAAAGCAGATTGAAAAGTTAGGTGGGACATGGGATGTCGGGATCCTTAAACTTGGTGTCTTAAACCCCCAACCGAATCCTCTCCTGCTCCTCGCCCAGCCAAGCCCAGAGAGACCAACAGCATGCACAAAGTCTTTCTTTGCTAAGCACCTAGGACTGGATATGTCGACCCCGCGGATTGAGGTGGCGATGTCCAGGCTCTGGGTAACGGGTTGGAGTCCCCTGTAGACACTAGAGCCCCACGTTAGAAAATCGGGGTCCTGGAAGCCTCGCTTCCATAGTGGAACGAGACAGAGTAATGTGCAATTTCTGAGTCTCCTAAAGCGGGCGAAGTACCCTGCGTAAATACAGGTCACGAAAGAACCGGAGGAGACTCACATCATCTGATTGCATGATGTCCCGTTCAGCGTGGCTAGCTTCGAGCACCAACCATACTTCTTCCGGAAAATCACATCCGGAAACGCTAGTCTCACCTATCGCGAGAAACTCTGAGACTGTAAGAGATGTACAGCGCCACCTGGCTGTCTTACCTTTCGTGCGCGTCTCCGCCTCCCGGTTCTTACCGTCTGTGCGCGCTCACCTTTGCTTGGGGCTCACCCTTGCTTGGGGCTCACCCGGGATTGTAAACATGGCTAAAGGCCCCGTAGCGACCCTGCGCGGGAGGATGTAACACGCAGTCGACCCAGCCCTGGAACGCGAAGCCAGGCGAGCCGATGTGCATTTGGGACCGTCTCGGGGTCTCAGACTCAGCCCGCCCTCCCGGCCTGTTTGCCTGGTAGTGAACTCGGGAAAGGTGCAGACCCGCGCCTACTAGGTGCCACAGTAAGGAAGCTCTGGCGGTACCTTCGCGCTGGACTGTTCTGTATTTTTAGTCCTTCACCGAGTCTCCGCAAACTCGGCACGCTAGGCTGGCCCTTTCAGCGTAAGGTCTTTCCTCCCTCAGTAGCACCTCCCTTACTTATTCCCACAGACACTCGTGTTTGATGCTGCAGTGAGTCCCAGTCTTTGAAATTCATTAATCAGTTAATATTTCAGAAACAAATGTGGAGGACTAACAGCTCTTCTTTTCATATTTGCTATGGGAAAAAGAAAACCTTTACTACTTCATACTATTTTATAAAAGAAAGGACATTTTAAACCCGAAAAGTAAGAAAGGCCCAATCTTTGAATAAATAGGTTGTTGTTGTTATGTGTTGTCGAGTCGGTATGCAGCTTTAATTTGAATGTAGATCGCTGATGAAGGATTACTCAAAGCACAGCTGGCCAAAAACAGCAGCCAATTTATCAAGATTTATAGACCCTTCAAACAATAAACAGAAGGCTCAAAGCACAGAACAGAGTGCTCTAACAAGTCCAATGGACAGCAGACAATGGAGGATGGATGTGCATATCGTGTATTGAATTACAGGATACCAGGAAGTGAGTTAAAGATCTACTTACTATCATTCAATAAGCCCAAAACAAAACTAAAGGCTGCCAGGCAATTACCATATGACAGACCTAAGACCCCTGAGCCAAGACATTATAGTTAAGAGGAAAAAAAAGAAAAGATTACCCAATCATAATTTTAGTTGTTTTTACTTTAATCAATTGTAGCATGTAAGTCATTTGCTCATAGGTTCATGCTCCAGTGATTGTAAAGGGCACGTTGAAAGACCTTTACCCACAAGGAATCAACACTTCCCAAAATTGTATAAAAAGCATCTATTAATTGTACTTCTGTGGATCTTGGTCTGTTTATAACCATAGTGCTTGCAGCCAGTTTGTCATTTTTCACTTTCATTTTCTGATATGTCACAATAAAAAACGTCTTGCTGCAGAAGGCTTTGGTAAAAATTTATTTCTCTATAACATTGCATAATGAGATAATTCAGTGTACAATAAATATTTTAAATTTGCTGATTTAGCGTTTATTTTCTGAGCTAAACTTAGCTTAGAAAAAGCAATGGTTATTTACTGAGATCCTTGGGTAAAGCACTTAACCTTTATCAACTGTTCCTCCATATAAGAAAACAGGGGTATAAGGTAATTAGCAATATGTTAAATGTATAGTTACACTACTCATCTGTCTGCTCATCATACCGTTGTGGCTTGCGTGTGGCTGGATGCTGGAAGCTATGCCATCTATATTTCAAATACCAGCAGTATCACTCTTGGTGTACAGATTTTAATAGAACTTTAAAAGTAAGACTGGGAAGAAAAATCTGAGTCTACTTCTGAAAATTACCCAATGAAAGCCGTATGCATCGGAATATTGTCTAACTGGCTTGCTTTGGATAGGTTATCAGGAGGGATCAGTCATTGGAGGAGGGAATTGTGTTTGGTGAAGTAGAGGACCAATGAGGTGAGGGAGACCCTCAGTGAGATGGATTGGCACAATAGCTACAAGGATGGACTGGATCAATTGTGAGGAGGATGCAGGACCGGGAGTAATTTCATTCTGCTGTCACTATGAGTTGTAGCTGACTAGGTGGCAGTTATCTATCACTGCATAGTTTAAATTGTTGCATGAAAAGTAGTTATTGTTTTCATTAGACTCCTCCCAGATGAAAACCAAAACTAAACCCACTACCATCAATGCCAACTCATAATGACCCTATGTTACAGAGTAGAACTGTTCCACAGAGTTTCCAAGGCTGTAAATCTTTATGATAGCAGATTGCCTCATCTTTCTCCTATGGAGGGGCAAAAGGGTTTGAACTGCCTACCTTATGGTTAGCAGCCAAATGCTTTAACCACTACACTACTAGTGCTCCTCTGCCCTGTAGGGTAGAGGAAAAGTCACAGTACATACATGCACATACTCCTTCATGACCATAAAATCAAGTTATAAACTTGATTAACAAGTTAAAATATGGAAGAAATCTAATACTGGGCAACCCTGAGCACCTGCACATACCCACTAACTGAATTGCTTTAAGGCAGGGAAGTGCAAAAAAATTAAAACCACAATAAGGTACCACTTCACACCCACTAGCATTACTAGAATAAAAAAGTCAGATAATAATAAGTGTTGGTGAGAATGTGGAGAAACTGGAACCCTCATACACTGTTTGTGGGAATGTAAAATGCTGCAGCTACTTTGCTAAACAGTATGGTATTTCCTCAAATGGTTAAACATAGAGTTACCATATGACTCAACAATTCCACTGGCCATTCATATAATTCCAAAATTGTACCCAAGAGAAATGAAAATATGTGTTCAAACAAAAATGTGTACACAAATGTTTATAGGAGGATTATTCATACTAAAAATAGTAGAAATAACCCAAATGCTTATCAACTGATGAATGAACAGATAAACTGTGTGTGGCAGTTAAGTTGTGTGTCAGCTTGGCTGGGCCTGTTTTTGAGTGGCTAGGCACTCGGAAGGAAGGTTGGGCAATCCTACTTCCGTAGTGATACTGCCTCGGAAACCCAAGGAGGGGTCACTATGAGTCAGGTGTGACTCGACGGTATACAACAACAAGGCAGCTGGATGTAGTTATTCTCCATGATGAGACTGGTAATCAGCTCTATGGTGGAATCTACTGGAGCAGCTGAGTAGCTGCTTTAGGGATGTGGTCTGCTGCTAGTATATAAGAAGCTTTGAGAAAGGGTTCAGCAGGTTTTTGGCATGCTATGACCCTGCATGTAGGGTTCCTGAGTCTTTTTAGCAGCGTGCCATGTTTCCTGCCAATCTTGGGACTGTCTCTGGCCTTGAACTAGTGGCCTGCCATGTTGTTTGGTAATCTTGAGACTGTGCCATCGTATTTGTCAACTTTGGTCTTGTCAGCCTCAGCAGCCTGCAGCTGCCTGAGCTAAGAAATGCCTCCAACTTCAGTGGTCCAGGAGCAAGAGGTGGAGTTGAAGCCCAAGGTTGAGGGGCTTTCTCCCAGACCTTAGAGCTGGCACTTTGAACTCAGACTTCTAGACTCCTAAATTGTAAGAGAATAAATCCCTTTTTGTTAAAGCCACCCATTTGTGGTATTTCTGATAGAGTGGCACAAGAGAACCAAAACTTTGTGGTATATCTACAGAATAAAAAGAAGTGAAGTATTGATGTGTGCTACAACATAGATAAACATTGAAAGCATTATGCTACAGGAAAGAAGCCAGTCACAAAAGACCACATACTCCACTTATATGAAATGTACAGAATAGGCAAACGTATATAATGGCACAAATTAGATTAGTGGTTGGCTATAGCTTGAGAGGAGGTTAAGGACAAACAAATGCCTGCTGCAAATGGGCATGGGATTTCTTTTTAGGTGCTGAGAGAGTTTTAAAGTGATTATGGTGATAATTGCACAATTTTGTGAATGTGCTAAAAACCATTGCATTTTATACTTTACATGGGTGAATTGTGCAGTGTGTTGTTATATTAACAAACAACAACAACTGGAAACAATCCAGATACCTTGAATAGGTGAATGGTTAAACAAACTGTGGTACATCCATATCATGGAGTACTAAGGAGCAGTAAAAATGAGCAATGATATACATAACAGCCAGGATAAATAACCAGAGAATTATGCTGAGTAAAAAAAGCCAATGTCAAAAGATTATTTTCTGTATGATTCAATCTTTATAACATTATTGAAATGAAAAAATTATAGAAATGGGAAACAGATGAGTAGTTGCCAAGTATAAGGAAAGGTTGAGAATAGGGGGGAAATGGATATGGCTCAAAAAAGGGCAACATGAGGGATCATTGTGGTGATGGAAATGTTATGTATCTTGACTGTGTCAATATTTTCGTTGTGATATTCTGTTATAATTTACAAGATGTTACCATTGGGGTCATGGGGAGCACCAAGCTCAATTTACGTAACATACTACACAAAAACACTATTCTACATCCTACTTGGTAGCATAGTGCCTAAGGCACTTGACTGCTAACCAGAAGGCTGGTGGTTCAAACCCACCAGCCACTCCTCGGAAGGAAGGTTGGGCAATCTACTACTGTAGTGATACCACCTTGGAAACCCAAGGAGAGGTCGCTATGAGTCAGGTCCGACTCAACGGCACATAACAACAACAACAACAACAACATCCTACTTTGGTGCATAATAACTAATGTCTTAAAAACTTACAAGCAGCTATCAATTGGTCTCTTCTTGGACAGAGCAAAGAATAATAAAGAAAACCAAAATCACATGGAAACAATCAGTCCAAGGGACTGGTGGGTCATACAAACCTCAGCCTACATGACCCAAGACCAGAACTAGATGGTACCTGGCTAACACTGTCAACCACTCAGAAAGGGATCAAAATAGGAGATCCTGGTTAGAGTATAGAAGAATGTGGAACAAAACTCAAAATCATAAAAAGGACCAGGCTTACTTGTCTGATAGAGACTGTTGAAGCCCCCAAGACTATGGCCCCTAGTCACCCTTCTCACCAAACTCACAGCCATTGAGTCT